ATGAAAATAATGCAAAAGGAATGAGTATTTTCAATAATTATTTGTTATCTAATTTCATATAAATTGCCATAACTTATGTTTAAATAAATATTATAAACACTTAAAATCTAAAAGTGGTTACCAGGCTTCTGTATGGGGCTAAAATATAATGTGAATTGTATATCATAAAAACATGTTGTTGTAACTTGTAATAGAATGGACATTTTTCGCGAAGAAAACTTTGTATAATTTATTTGGCAAAGATGTTGTTTCAGAAATATTATTAAGTGATAACGAAACGCAGTTTTAAAAACTTATAGGCAGACGCCTGTTTTATCATAACAAAACAGGAATGTTCATAAACATTTTTTAAGAATAGCAATCGCTTATGTTTACTATTGCATTAAAGACGATGACTTTGCTTTAAAAGTACCATGTTAAATGTGCTTTGTCATAATTATGTTTTCTAGAAAGAAAATACGAAACTGGCATCAGTGATAGCTGTATATAAGCATCTTAAGTATATATCACAAAAAAATTGTATAATGAAAATGTAAATACTTATGTACTCGTATAATCTATATCTATTTGAATGATAATTATTATTTTTAGTTTCCAAGTTTCCAAGTTTATTTGATTATCTCAATATGCATACAAATAGGGTTAACCCTAACCCTAACCCTTTTTACAACATTAAAATTTTTGGCCGCTAGGCCGCCAGGCCGCTGGGCCGCCAACTTCACAAAAATGACAAATTAAAATAATTTCTGAAAGTGATTTTTTCTTTAGATATATCGTTTAAATAACAATAATTATCTTTAAAACTTCATTAAATGCCGTTTTATTGTTAAAAAAAAACATTTTTACAACATTAAAATTTTTGGCCGCTAGGCCGCCAGGCCGCTGGGCCGCCAACTTCACAAAAATGACAAAATTAAAATAATTTCTGAATTTCTTTAGATATATCGTTTAAATAACAATAATTATCTTTAAAACTTCATTAAATGCCGTTTTATTGTTAAAAAAAACATTTTTAGAAGATTAAAATTTTAGGCCGCTAGGCCGCTGGGCCGCCAACTTCACAAAAATGACAAAATTAAAAAAATCTCTGAAAGTGATTTTTTCTTTAGATATATCGTTTAAATAACAATAATTATCTTTAAAACTTCATTAAATGCCGTTTTATTGTTAAAAAAACATTTTTACAACATTAAAATTTTGGGCCGCTAGGCCGCTGGGCCGCCAACTTCACAAAAATGACAAAATTAAAAAAATCTCTGAAAATGATTTTTTCTTTAGATATATCGTTTAAATAACAATAATTATCTTTAAAACTTCATTAAATGCCGTTTTATTGTTAAAAAAAAACATTTTTACAACATAAAAATTTTGGGCCGCTAGGCCGCTGGGCCGCCAACTTCACAAAAATGACAAAATTAAAATAATTTCTGAAAGTGATTTTTTCTTTAGATATATCGTTTAAATAACAATAATTATCTTTAAAACTTCATTAAATGCCGTTTTATTGTAAAAAAAAAAACATTTTTAGAAGATTAAAATTTTAGGCCGCTAGGCCGCTAGGCCGCTGGGCCGCCAACTTCACAAAAATGACAAAATTAAAAAAATCTCTGAAAATGATTTTTTCTTTAGATATATCGTTTAAATAACAATAATTATCTTTAAAACTTCATTAAATGCCGTTTTATTGTTAAAAAAAAACATTTTTACAACATAAAAATTTTGGGCCGCTAGGCCGCTAGGCCGCTGGGCCGCCAACTTCACAAAAATGACAAAATTAAAATAATTTCTGAAAGTGATTTTTTCTTTAGATATATCGTTTAAATAACAATAATTATCTTTAAAACTTCATTAAATGCCGTTTTATTGTTAAAAAAACATTTTTACAACATAAACATTTTGGGCCGCTAGGCCGCTAGGCCGCTGGGCCGCCAACTTCACAAAAATGACAAAATTAAAATAATTTCTGAAAGTGATTTTTTCTTTAGATATATCGTTTAAATAACAATAATTATCTTTAAAACTTCATTAAATGCCGTTTTATTGTTAAAAAAAAACATTTTTACAACATTAAAATTTTGGGCCGCTAGGCCGCTAGGCCGCTAGGCCGCTGGGCCGCCAACTTCACAAAAATGACAAAATTAAAATAATTTCTGAAAGTGATTTTTTCTTTAGATATATCGTTTAAATAACAATAATTATCTTTAAAACTTCATTAAATGCCGTTTTATTGTTAAAAAAAAAACATTTTTACAACAATAAAATTTTGGGCCGCTAGGCCGCTGGGCCGCCAACTTCACAAAAATGACAAAATTAAAACAATCTCTGAAAATGATTTTTTCTTTAGATATATCGTTTAAATAACAATAATTATCTTCAAAACTTCATTAAATGCCGTTTTATTGTTAAAAAAAACATTTTTACAACATAAAAATTTTGGGCCGCTAGGCCGCTAGGCCGCTGGGCCGCCAACTTCACAAAAATGGCAAAATTAAAATAATTTCTGAAAGTGATTTTTTCTTTAGATATATCGTTTAAATAACAATAATTATCTTTAAAACTTCATTAAATGCCGTTTTATTGTTAAAAAAACATTTTTACAACATTAAAATTTTTGGCCGCTAGGCCGCCAACTTCACGCCGCTAGGCCGCCAGGCCGCTGGGCCGCCAACTTCACGCCGCCAGGCCGCTAGGCCGCTAGGCCGCCAACTTCACGCCGCCAGGCCGCCAGGCCGCTAGGCCGCCAACTTCACACATCTACTCCCGGGCCATATTTTATCCACACAATAACCTAGTTAGGTGTTCTCTGTTTTTTATCGCATGATTACCAAACATGACAAGTTTGATTAGTCTATACATACAGTTTTAATTTGTATTTCTCTTCCCTTAATTAATTTTCAGTTTAGTATAACAGTTACATATATGACTGATATTTAATTTAAAGTGTATTGTTGTAAAATTATGCACGGCTCGAGTTCTTAAAAATGCCCAGGAATAGATGCACGAAGGCCGATGGGCCTGAGTAATAAATGACAGTAGTGGAGGTCAGAGGTATAGGTAATTTCTGTCCTTCTTTATCTATATAAATCCCCCATGTTTGATTCGGAAGACTGGACAACAATAGGGGAGCAAATTCCCAACAATAGGAATTTATGTAGATAATTGATGTTTTAAAATAATTTTATGTATGTATGTAGTTAAGATAAGGAAATAGTGTGAAGCATGCTAGAATTTTCTTTTGCGAACCCCGTTTCATGAAAGCTTACCAAATAAAGTACTGGTGGACATTGCTGATTGATCGGATGACCACAGACACAAATGATTGTTTGTGAACCGTCCAACCGTTAAGCTTGTACAATAACATGCCAAGAGATGGATTTTTATATCAAATTCAATGAAACGATTATTAGGAGATAGATACACAACAGAACACTTGCAGGCACATGAAAATCAAAGAAATGCGAGTATAGCTAGAGATACTCAGGGACATGTTTACACATGCAGTGCCAACTATCTTCAAAATGACATTTAGATTAAAATTTTAAAAAGGTTAGTGTCACACGTTCCAGATTTTTTTCCTAACCTCAGCTCCAATCCCTAGTGCCCCATCCCCTATTTCCCAATCCCTACTCAAACTATATTTTATACTTTCCAGTCTGTGTTATGATACAGTCATATGACCCCGTTTTTGTCTGCAGTCATGTTTTCACATGAAATAACTGAACTTATGTATAAGTATGTAATGCTTAAAAACACACCGTCAAACATATTAATTCAGATTGACCGTTTTATTCATAAAATTTAAAATGCATTTTCCGTTTACATAAGCAACATACAATAATATACATTGTTCCTGAAGAAAAATTTGGTGGCTTTATATACATATGTCAGATTGTCTGCCTAATCCTAGGCGCATGATAATTCACTTAATATAATCGTTAAAAGAATAACCATCAAACTATGACAAGAAAAAAACTAATTTTAAAATTACCAGTTTTAAACATTAACTACAATTAAAAAAGTCTCCTATCAACCTCAGCAGTAAAATTACCAGCTTTAAACATTAACTACAATTTAAAAAAAATCTCCTATCAACCTCAGCACTAAAATTACCAGTTTTAAACATTAACTACAATTTAAAAAATCTCCTATCAACCTCAGCACTAAAATTACCAGTTTTAAACATTAACTACAATTTAAAAAAATCTCCTATCAACCTCAGCACTAAAATTACCAGTTTTAAACATTAACTACAATTTGAAAAAATCTCCTATCAATCTCAGCACTGAAATTACCAGTTTAAAACATAAACTACAATTTAAAAAATCTCCTATCAACCTCAGCACTAAAATTACCAGTTTTAAACATTAACTACAATTTTAAAAAAAATCTCTTATCAACCTCAGCAGTAAAATTACCAGTTTTAAACATTAACTACAATTTAAAACAATCTCCTATCAACCTCAGCATTAAAATTACCAGTTTTAAACATTAACTACAATTTAAAACACTCTCCTATCAACCTCAGCATTAAAATTACCAGTTTTAAACATTAACTACAATTTAAAACAATATCCTATTAACCTCAGCAACAAATAATGATATAGCATTGGCCTTAGACTATATACACTCGCTCAAGTAAAAACTTTGGTGTGTCAGTCTGATTTGGGATATTCGTCTGTGCACCATGGAATCAGATCCACTGGACGAAAAGGAAATTCCTATGAATGAAATATCACGAATCAAATGATAACTTATTCAGAGGGACTGGCGAGGGGGACGAAAGAGGACTTTGAAGATTAGGGTCGAGTTCTACTGGCTATAATCAGATTGTACTCGTAGGAAATAGGAGTAATATGGAGACTTATATACCTAGTGACTAATGATGGCGTCGGAGGTCGTTTATTTAAAATTCACAAGTGTTCTTTTTTATGATAAATGTAGGATACGCATAATTATTATAGGTTAAGGAAGTATTCCTATGGACTATTAAAGCTGGGAATAAAGTGCAGGATGTGCCTTCGAGTTTTGTCCATTATTTAGAGGTAAGAAAAAATGGCCATTTCATTGTTAATAAGTTTACAAAAAATGCATAACTGCATAACAATTGATTTCACATATATGATATATCATATAACAATTTTATTTTTGAAAGAAAAAAAAACACAAAAAAAAAACACAAAACAACAACACAACAAAACAAAATTCAAACATACGTATGCAGAAGATAAATGCAAATATACCCGTCATTCGGCGTTTTTATTTTCAACAGGCATTTTGTTTTTATAATGTTTTAACATGTCACATAATTATATTGGAATTCATACTATCATAGTTTTTAAAAGTGCACTTACCTTTTTTCATATTATTATCAGTCAATGCCGCCTATATATTTGTTTTATGATGTTAACCAAGAATTAAGAAATAGTTTCAATAGCATGAAATCGCATTTTAATGAAATGAAGTTACTAGCTCGAAATACGAGTATACGCCATTATAATTTAGACCAGATATATATACAGAGCTAAGACGTGATTTAAATAGTCACTGAATGTGAACCTGAAAAGAAAGTTATTTGATCATTTTTTTTGCAATTATCAGATATTACAATAATCATTCAATTTTAAGTTAAGAAATATGATAATATTGTAAATAAAAGCTATCATAAAATCGATCTTTTAAAACTATGTCTAAAACTGCAATGTGTTAATAAATAAATTATTGGTTTTTTTTACAGGCATAGGGTTTTTAATGGTATTGATTTCGTTTGACATACTGTGGTACTATGTATCGATCATGGGATGGGTCCAATATTATTTTGTCCAATCATTTCACTCACAATTACCATGGTCAACATGTGACAACTGGTGGAATACTGAAAAATGCAGAGGTACTATATTATCTTCAGTTTATGCTTTTTTTCATTTTGAACAAAGAACAAAAACATTACTGTTTCATATATCTGTGTATGCACGATCAGTATTTTAAACCTAATGTTTTTAAATGCTTCATTAAAATGATCCATTACAAGCCTCGTTATCTATGCTTGATCATTACCAATGCACGTGAAAAACATCCATGAAAGTGATGTTTTTTATAGTCATTATCAATGCAAATAATATAGATTTTTTATTGTATGCTACATTGTAATTACATGTATAATTAACTACAATTTATTTACCATGGTCATGTTCAACTGTTCACAAGTTGTTCTTGTTTTATATTTTGGACAGAAAGAGCACATTTTTTTTGCTCTGATCTGTAATTTTTGACCTCGTTTGTATAAACATAGTTATACAAGATAAGCCAGATGTATATACACCTACAAGTATAAAAATATAATTAAATCCTTAAACTTAGGTATCATTTATAAATAAAATGTACCTTATACAAATACATGTATACAAATAGACACTTAGAACATTCAATGAAAGTCTGAAATGTTTAGTTTTATGTATAGTAAATCATGTGCACTGACATATATACCGAGATTTTACTGTGCCAAGTATTTCAATTCCCTGACGAAATAATGCATCAGTTTGTTTTTATCGTCTGCTGTTTTTTTCTGGTTAGATACTTCATGTATTTCTTTTTTTGCAGAGAATATGTTCAGCTCGTCAATGACTAACAATTCAACTGTCTTACTTGGAAATACCACAAATGTCACTTTAAATACCGACACATCAGTAAATAACAAAACAGTGTTCTTGTCTCCTGCCAGCGAATTCTGGTTGTAAGTATTTATATACATTTGTGTAAAAAGAAAAATGTTTTTTGTTTAAACTCAATAATATACAGGCACATTATACAGCGGAAATGATTATGACATGTTTCCTTTGTTAAAAAAGACCATCGAAACATGAGGCTATCTGATTTGTACGAGGGGGACGTACGTATATAATACATGTTGGCAATTATCATTTGAAGAAAGCACCCGCGTCACGACAAAACCAACGACCAGCATGGATCCAGACCATTGCTATCAGTTTCTCTACATGTTAAACGGTTTGTAGGCGTACAGCATGGATCCCGATCTGACTGCGCGGATGCGCAGGCTGGTCTGGATCCATGCTGGTCGCAAACTCAATACGTTGGTAATGTCATATATACAGTTGGGTTCGGACAATCGATATCTCGTGTAAGAGGTACGTACCTAAACCACATAACTTGTGTCCTTGAACAGTACGATTATATTGATAGATCCTTTACCAGATATGAGCGAAAATAGATAGTTATCGTTAATAGGAAGCGGAAGTCGAAAGTTTTATTAAATCTATACATATACATGTATTTCCGTTATAAATGGAAAAGCCACTTTAATGCGTGACGGTAGTATGAGCCCGTCCTGTTTCGTCAAATCTTCCAAATTTATCATTTTATCTATCTTTAACTATACTTGGCATTTTGAATTTTCTAAGTACTGATTATCTCGTTACAACTTGTCCCTGATATTTTAAATGCAATGCTTCCGATGAAAACAATTATTTATTTACCATGTAAGTATTTAAGTAAATATATAATTTAAAACTTCATATAAAACAATTAAGCGTTGCTTATTTATTAATTAACAAAGATCAAAATAAAAA